CCCGCTCTCGCGAGATTCGAACCCAGGACCTACCAGTCACGAGCCGGAGCCCTTAACCGATAGACCACTGAGCTGGCATCCAACGGTGTTAATGTCTAACCTCAACTAATCCACGAATTTGCGCAACCAACTTCCAATGTACTGAGGTAGATACCTGTCTCTACCTGACATGGATTAGCTCCACTGGCCACGACTTCTCACTAGAACTCCAGGAATTACCTCAAGGAGCCAGTCACTAGTGAGCATATGATCATTATCACTAGGGGGGTAGGTCCTGGGTTCGAATCTCGCGAGAGCGGGTTCGTGGATGCGCACTGCTGAGGAGTCCCATAATAGGACGAAACGGCCGTCCAGTGCTTCCAGGTTTTCGATGGTGGTCTAGCCTCAATTGACTCATGATCTTAACTATAAAAAAACTACTAAATCTCCACAAAAACCCCCCTAGTGTCAATGGAATGTATAAATTAACAAGTTGATATCTTCAAATTTCAGCTTGAAGTATTTGTGGATCTGTGGAAGAACAATGGGTTCTTTCTTGACATTGTATAATGTTCAGTTACCAAACTGTCCTGAATAGTGGAAATGTTATATCGCTTCCTCAGAACAAAGAGATTAAGAAAGGAAATATTAGTTTTCTACAATATTCAACACAGATTACTAGTGGATTTAAAATAAATGAAATCTGGAATACACATTTCACCTTATCTGGGGTTCGTCAGACGGATATAAGGTGGTGATTGGAGGCTGTTGATAGGAAACCGTGAACTTGAGTTTCATACCATTTTGTACTCATCAACAAAGTGTGCGAGTAGTCTTAAGGGAATTGATACTGCTAGGTGGATTCTATCTCGTGTCACCCAGCCTCACAGTCAGATTCGTAACCACTAAGCTACTGTCGACTACCAGTAACCACCACCTTACATCTCAACAAGTTGAGTCATTTAGAGTAGTGGCCAGATTTGAACTTGGTCCTAGCTAAAAAGGACTTGACACAAATAATATTGGTCACTTCTGACGACCAATTAATTGTAAAAGTTAGTTGGCTACAATTTTATTTACAATGAGACTACTACCCAGCGTAGTGAACGAAGACTACGATGAGGATAACCAAATTATTGCTTGACGCATAATCACACAGTGACTTAGTAAAATTTGAAAATCATCCACTAAATACATCATTTGCACATCTTCTTTGAGCTGTTTTTTACACACTGCATTATTCTCTTGATTCGGTTATTATTTCGCTTGGTCTCAGATTTCCTTCTTGTTCTCTTCATTGGAATCTTCTTCTGGAAGACATTCCACTTCTGATTGGTGATACATATTACTTACATCTGTAATGATAAGTAACATGTACCACACCAGCACCTTTAACTCTAAACAACCAACGCATTATCAACTTTGTTGATTCAAAGCAAGGAATAACTTTTTAAAAATGTATTGTTCTTATACCATTATAAGTAAGTATTCGCATTTACCTGTTGTTGATATTAAGAAATGAATTTCCTTTTTCCATTTTCAACCGACACCAACATCAGAATGTTCAATACAAATGTCAAGACAGTTCTACTGTATGGGGCGGAAACCTGAAGAACTACGAAAGCCATCATCCAGAAGATACAGGTGTTTATTAACAGTTGTCTACTCAAAATACTTCGGATCCGTTGGCCAGACACTATCAGCAACGAGCTACTGTGGGAGAGAACAAACCAGATTCTAGTAGAGGAAGAAATCAGGAAGAAGCGCTGGAAGTAGATGGGACACACATTGAGGAAATCACCTCACTGCGTCACTAGGAAAGTCCTCACATGGAATTTTATTATTTTATTTTATTTAAACACATAAATATTGGTACAAGAAAGCACCAGATAAATATGCGCCTCACAAATCTCATTTGATTTGTGTGAGGGCTGTGATTCTGCCCACGTGCCCAGACTGAATCAGGTGGTTTTCTTGGAGGGCCACATCCCGAGCCTTTGACCTGAAGGTCTGATCCACAAGGCAGTGGAGCATCTTAAGGAGATGCAGTCCCATGGTAGCCGGTGACCAACGATTGGTTCATACGCCATTTATTCCTTCAGGATACTGGAGCCCATGTGCACCATTGATTTGGAATCACGGTTTTCCAACTCCCCTAGTTGAACTTTCCGTGTTCACTAACACGGTTCAAGTGCCGGAGATTCGCTTTTCGTCCTCTGAATTTCGTAAACAACATCGGTGCCACGAGAAGGCAGTGAGTAGGACTTTCCTGACAGAGGCTATGTATTCTTGTGGCTATATAAGAGCATTCCTAGAGGGAGAACGGACTCTCCCCACTCTCGATCGTACCAGGGCATTTGTGGACTCCTAAAGGTTAAAGGAAAAGAGGAAGACCAAAAAACATATTACACTGAGAAATGGAGACAGACATGAGAAGAATGAACAAAAACTGGATAGAACTAGAAAGGAAGGCTCAGGACAGAGTGGGTTGGAGAATGCTGGTCGACGGCTTATGCTCCATCGGCAGTACCAGGCGTAAGTAAATAATTAATTTTTGACAGGTTTGGATGCTGTATATAGTAATATATTTCTAATGGGAATGCATTATTTTGATTATCTGGAACTGTACTCTGTAAAGCTATAATACATAAAGCAACCCTAATTAACAATTGTATTAAACATGCAAAACGTGATTTAATCAAAACTACCTCACTATACTATTTAATCTTGCTTAATAAGTACTTGGTGAATGGTATATGTTTCATTCATCAAAGATTGATTTCAATTAGGATACTATTAAGAACCAGGAAGAACGTCCTATATATATATATATTGAACTTCAATCTGAATATCTTTATGAGATCGTAGATATCCTACGCTGAAAATTTTCAAACTAGACATTTTCATCGATAATACAACTATAGTAGACCTGTAATGAGTACGATCTAATAAATTATGAACTAAACTAAACAAAACTCTCTTATAAATTCAATTAGTATTGTTTGTTTGAATCTTCCCATTGATGTTTTAAGACTGCAACTGGTCAGTCTCTAATTGGCATATGTGCATACTGTGCGTATTGCCTCGATATAGCCTATATTCACAAGCACTGTAAGCAAAGATGGATAGTGGTTAGCAGTGGAATACAGTTTGACGGGCGTTTCGTCCTATTTGAAACTCGTCCGTTGGGTGTACCTGCATCTCAGAGTTAATGTTCACTCTGAGACTCGAACCCAGTACGGTTCTCTTCAAACGCTATCGCGTTATCCACTCGGCCACTGAGTCCTGATAGCTATTTTATTCTATTCATCTTAACAATTTTTACTGTTTATCAATCTATAAATAAACCGACTGAAGTAATTTTAATAAGAACTTTGATATTTTCAATAAAAACAGGGCGGTCATTGACCCAATAAAAAGCATCTTGATTTAGTATACTTATTTACTTTATATGATCTTTGTTAATATTATTAAATATATCAATAATATCCGGAGGCATATATAGGTGTTTGAGACATATATATATCAATGTTATGTAAGTAACCATAGCAACTTGTTCCCATACAAGTCACCTGTTTAAATTTTATCATTATTTTTTTTACTTTCTCATTTTCTTTGAGTTATACATTCAATACTTCCGGATCTTTTGGTGTTGTTGCTTTTTGTTCTTTATTCCCATTAAAATATCAATGATAACTTTTATTATTTTTCCAAGAGCTAAAAATTTTTTCATTCTTAAAACAACTCCCCCCCTCATCACAAGTAAGCTTTTGGATAAGAAGGTGTTAAATTCAGAGAGATTGGACACATTTTGAGGAAATCACCCAGTTGCATCACAAGACAAGCCCTTACATGGAATCCTGAAGGCCAAAGAAAAAAGAGGAAGACCAAAGAACACATTACACCGAGAAATGGAGATAGACATGAGAAGAATGAACAAAAAAATGGATAGAACTAGAAAAGAAGGCCCAGGATAGAGTGGGTAAGAGAAAGCTGGTCGGCGGCCTATGCTCCATTGGGAGTAACAGGAGTAAGTAAGTAAGTAAGTATAGACTGATGTTAATCAGATTAACAATCAAAACTAAGATGGACTTCACAAATGTACACATTCAACACCTCACTTAGGATTGAATAGATGAAATCCAAATCTCACAACGAACGTTTAATAATTAGATAATTATTTCGTTATCCAATGGTTTGTATGTTATACTTCATTGAGTTCAAGATATTTCAAGACTATCATTCATTAGTATTATTGATCTTTAGCTTACTAGAGAAACAGTTGAACTTTACTGATTATGAATTTCCACTAGAAGTTCAGGAACTAGCTCTTCAAGTCAGTCACATATAAGCAAATAGCAATAGTTGTGATAAGATGGTGTACAGTGATTAGTGGAATTCTAGTGTGTAGACATTGAGACGAAGATCTACAATGATAATGAATAGTGATCGTGCAATATTGCAAAATGTAACCTGTTATATGCTAATCCAGTGATCTAAAAGTTGAACACTTGAACGAAAACTAGAGCTATAGAAGTGCTCTGCTGACGAATGACATACTGCAATGAAACAGATGGGCATTATATCCAGGTTCTTTGCGTTTGTCTAACTTTGATTAGTCAATGCTATGACCTATGAAATTCAACAATTAGTACGACACTGTGTAATCAGAATCAAATTTGATAGCTTTATTATTGTGCCTTAGTACCATCTAAATCATTTCATTAACTGGTAATTCTGAATTAATACTAAAAGGAAACAGTAATTTATAGGCTTTCCTTCTTGGAAGTTTCAACATTTAATTAAGTTATATTTATGATAGATTCAAAGTTGGAAGCTACAAACTTAAATGACATTCTACCTACTTTAAGTTTGTTTAGCCTTCACACAGAACAATGTGGTAAAATGTGAAATCTATACTAGAAAACTTAGTTTTACTATTCTTTTAAAGATATTTTCAATATTGCGCTTTCTATACATATATTTACTTAATAATAAAAAGGAAACTTTAAGAGAGCAAGAACAAAGATTGATACAGAATAATAAATCAATTCAGTTTATTCTGTTAAGTTCACATCAGTTGCTTAAATGGTTTGAATAATTTTTTCTGGTTAGCGTTTTTATTTAAACGATTTAGTTTTCTACAAGATGGCGTCGCTAATCTCTTTCTTCATCCGAGCTTAGAAACATCACTAGCCTCCAGAGAGGCTACAGGAGGAGTGGGTTGAAGAATGCTGGTCGGTGGTCTATGCTTCATTGGGGGTAACAGGCGTAAGTAAGTAAATAATTAAAATCAACTGCTTAAAACTTGTATAATAATATAAAATCTAAGTTATTACAGATATTGACATACTTATAATAAATTTGACAGTGAAATTTCCTGATGCGATAGCAATCAACCGTCTAAAACCAGATATATGTATTCAAAAAGAAGCTGAAATAAATCTTCTCTTATCCTCGTAACATTACATTCTTCATATTGCATCACTCATTATTTCAACTCTTTCTCAAGTGTTGATTACATCATCGTCATTTTTCTTGAATTCATAACTGATCGATTTCAATTCATTTCGTTCTTTATTACCATTAATCTGTTTTCAGTTACCATCTAATGTCTGATAATTTTATCAATTCTAATCACTAGTTCAATATTCTGGAACTATTCCTTACATACTTCATTTGTTTATCTCAAACAAAATATCGTATATGACCTTATTAACTCTTCACTACATCATGATACACACATAATCATCTCTAATCACCTTCGTATTTATGATAAGTACATCAACATCTGTAATAAGTTAAATTTTATAGTACGATACAGGTTGTATGCAGTTCATGCGATCCTAGCGAAATAAAATGAATTCATGTTAGTCTACACCAATCTTTGTTTTTGCTCTCTTCAAGAAAATGAACAGAACTATGTGTATGAATAAATCCAAATGACCTATATCTTGATGAACCATTTAGTATCACAAGGGGCTTTTGTGGATATTATAGTAATTTCATTAGTTGTGATCATGAGTCTTATATTAATCAACATACGCTCACTAGTAACTGGCTTCAACAGGTATTTCTTGGAGTTCTAGGGAGAAACTGTGACCAGTGGAGTTCAAACAAGTCTGTTGTGAGATAGTAACTGATCGAAGACAATAGTGGATGTGTCACTCAATTTCGTGGATCGATTGAAGTTAGACATTAATACCGTTGGATGTCGGTTCAGCGATCTAGAGCTTAAGCGTTCACGCGCGAAACTGATAGGTTCTGGGTTTAAATTTCGCGAAGCAGGTTGGCGGACAAAAATATAATCAGAAGGGGTTTTTTGTGGAGATTTTGTGGAGAAAGCATGAGCCGTAAACACCATTGGATGCCGGATCAGTAGTCTATCGGTTTAGTGCTCTGGCGCGAGACTGGTAGGTCCTGGTTTAGATGCTCGCGAGGCGAAGTCGTGGATGCACACTACTGAGGAATCCAACAATGAAACAAAACGGCCGTCCAGTGCTTCCAGGTTTTCCATGGTGGTCTAGCTTCAATGGACTCATTATCTCAACTATTGAAATAACCATTTAGTCTTAAAATAATCATTTAAAAAATTTATAATAAAAGATTATATGAATGACACATATGGTAACATGTATTTTACAAGAGTTAAATGTAGTTTATGGATTATTGTATTAAACTAATAAGACAAATATTAATTGGCTATACAATTATCATAGATGATAGTAGGTAAAATCTGAAAGAATCTTATTATTAATTTTTCTCTTCCACATGTCCAACAATAATGTACATGCTAAAAATAATTGATAACTCATTACCAATACTAATCAGTCCTACAATTAGCCAAATATCAAGCTCTTAATAATCAATGACTATATATATACATACATATATCATGTGAGACTAAGTTGTATTTTAAGTAACAAATCACTGTATAGCTAATTAGGGTATTTGTATTGTGCTTGACACTCGTCAGCAAGGTGTGTCTGTAATCTTGAGGGAACTGTTGCTCCCTGACGGTTTCGATCCCGTCTCACTCAGTTTTACAGTCAGAGATGTTACCACTGAGCAATCCGGGCCACGACCGACCTCCTGTAGGACTGCGATGTGTTTACAATTGATTGATCACTGGGTGGACCAATGTGACCAATGTCATGTTTGTCAAATCCTTCTTAGTGCATATCGAATGCTATCCAGTGCCTCTAACCACCATCTTATCTCAACAGAGTGCATGCAGTGTCCAGCCACCTAGACTCATAGCCAAATTTCAAGTTGATCGATAGCATTCTATCTGCACTAAGAAGGACTTGGCACACATGACATTGGTCACTACTCAGTGATCAACCAATTATGAAGACTGAGTTAGAAGCGTTATCATTAAGCCCTAAGTTTTGTGACTTTAAGAAGACGGTTAATAAGATAGACATCGAAATTTAGTTTGAAAATCTTTATACTCAAACGGCAGAATTAGTAACTTCATCAAAAGGTAACATCGAAAGGTTTAAATCAATGCTAGTAGACTGTTACTTTAGATACTTAAATCATGAACATAGTTTGAAAGGAATTTCAACGAAAGAACCACAAGGAAGTTTTAAGAAAACGTAAAACTAATAACAATTTATTAATCACGAAGCCAGACAAAGGTTATGGGGTAGTTCACATGGATAAAAACAACTATATCATCAGGATGAAAGCACTTTTAAAAACTTGCTTACGTCTGTTATCCCTCGCGGAGGAGCATAGGCCGCACACCAGCATTCTTCATCCAACTTTGTCCTGAGCAATCCTTACCAGATCTTTCCAGCTGTTATTCATCCTTTTCATATCTGATTCTATTTCCCGGTGTAATATGTTCTTTGGCCTTCCTCTTTTCCTCTTCCCTTTTGGATTCCAAGTTAAGGATTGCCTCGTGGTGCAGTTTGGTGATTTCCTTAATGTATGTCCGATCCACTTCCAACCACTTTTCCTAACTTTCTCTTCAGCTGGAAGCTAGTTTGTGCTCTCCCATAAAACGCTGTTGCCGATAGTATCCAGTTAGTGAATGTTAAGTATTTTACGTAAACAACTGTTTATAAATACTAGTACCTTCTTGATGATGGATGTAATAGTTCTCCATGTTTCAGCTCCGTACAGTAGGACTGTCTTAACTTTTAAATGATAAAAGTAAATTTCAGATATTGGTAATGAAGAACGACATGACAGACAAGATTGAAAAGCATCTTATAGATTCATTGAAATAAATATGAATATCAGGTATATAATTAACTAAAGATAATTTATAAACTGAAAATGATATAAGCATAGTTAGTTAAGTCCAACAGGTGCTTACAATTAGAAGAATATTAAGATATCATAAATTATATAGTTGAAATCATAAGTTAATTAAAGCTAGACCACCATGGAAAACCTGGAAGCACTGGACGGCCGTTTCGTCCTATTGAGGGACTCCTTGACATTACGCAGCCACGATCCTGCCTCGCGCTAGGCGAACTCAAGACATATCAGTCTCGCGCGCAAGCACTTAACCGATAGACCATTGAGCTAGTCGGCATCCAACGGTGTTAATGTCTGACCTCAACCAGTCCACGAAATTGTGCAAGCAACTTCCATTAAACTGAGGTAGATACCTGTCTCTACCTGACATGGATTAGCTACACTGGTTACGACTTCTCACTAGAACTCCAGGAATTAGCTCATGGAGCCATTCACTAGTGAGCATATGATCATTATCAGAAGGGGGTTTTGTGGAGATTTTAGTAATTTTATATAGTTGAGATCACGAGTCAATTGTAGCTAGACCACCATGAGAAACCATTCAGTGCTTCCAGGTTTTCCATGATGGTCTAGCTTCAATTGACTCATGATCTCAACTATATAAAATCAATGTCATGCTAGTCTCGTATATAGTACACTTGATATTTAGTAATTTAGATTAGTTGTTACAGTAAAAATTAAGGGATAAAATATAATCAACCAAGATAAACATAATATTGGTCAATAATCATTGACCTATCAGTTTAACAGACTTGTTTTGAGTCGCATGATTTTATAGAAAATACTTGATTGGATTTTCAAAGCAATTGTAGGTCTTTTCTATAGTTCTTAACAGTTCTCATAGAGATAGCATGTTATAATATTCCATCTTTTAGTATCGAATATTACTGGTTTACATCTGGTATTTTTCTGAATTGACTTCAGTAAACTTTCATACCACTGTACTACAAGCCAACACCAAATCCAGAATTTTCAACGCAAACGGAACTGAAACATGGACGAGTACTATAACCATCTTTAAAATAGTACAAGTATTCATAAACAAATATCTACTAAAGATACTCCAAATCCATTGATCGATATCATTAGCAAAAACCTACTGTAGGATAGAACCAATCAACATCCATCTGGAAATTAAATTAGAACCTTCGAGGTGGATAGGACATAGATTGTGGGAATCATCAGACTGCATCACAAGTCAAGCCCTAACTTAGAATCCTGAAGGCAAAGGGAAAAGTAGGAGAACAAAGGACACATTGAACCGGGAATCAGTGGCAGACATCAAAAGAATTAATATCACTTGGTAACAACTGGAAGGAAGAGCCCAACACAGAGTAGGTTGGATACTTCTGGTCTGTGAACTGTGCTCCTCCTCACGGAGTAACAAGCGTAGTTAAGTAAATGTATAAGTCCTTGATCATTGTGTATAATCTTCCGAAATGAATACACCATACTTTTCAATCAACTTTATTGAGGTGCGAAACAATACTATCCTCATTCCATTTTTGCTTTATTACTTTGCTTAAATCAATAACTAGTTCAAAACTGCGTTATATGCAATTTCCGTAGTTGAAATCATGAGTCAGTTGAAGCTAGACCACCACTGGAAGCCTGGAAGCACTGGACGGTCGTTTCGTCCTATTGTGGGACTCCTCGGCAATGAGCATCCACGATCCCGTACTCGTGAGACTCGAACCCAAGACGTACTAGTCTCGCGCCAGAGCACTTAATCTCTAGAACTCTGGGCTAGCAGGCATCCAATGGTATTAATATCTAACTTCAACTAATCCACGAAGTTTGAACATCCATTCACCAATTGTCTTCAGTGAGTTGATATCTTTACAACAGACTTAGTTGAACTCTACTAGTCACTGCTTCCCACTATTTATATCGATACTTCTATATAAATAAATCTAATTGAAGATTTTCAATAAGAAAGAAATGTAACTAGAATATTCAATTTTTCTTAACTTCCCTCCCACCCACCAACCCACTCTTACC